TATTTTCCAGCCTCAGTGCCCTTGGAGCACTTGGCTTTGTGATTTTCTGAACCCTAACCCTAATACTAATTGCAGTTTGGGGTTCCAGTTAAGGACCCCAGCACCATGGGTGGCCCAGATTGGAAAGGTGCAGAAGGAGCAATGTCAGTGCAGTGTCATGCTCCCCTCAGCATGCTCTTCCCAGCCCTATTGTCCTTGTAAATTGAGTCTTGAAAGACTTACTCTATGTTCCTCTCCATTCTCATATTAAAAAGGCTCGTACTTGGTTCTACTTTAACTTACAGAGTATGAAAATATCTTAGCAAATCAATGCTCTGTCCATTTTGCCCTGCTTTCACTGCCATGAGAATGTACTTACTTCCTGGCAGAAGGTCCTACACTTTCCTTTTTCTTTGGGAAACATGTATCTTCAAGCTGCATGCATCTGGTCAAGATGCAAAATCTTGTTCTCTGAAAAGCATATTTTTATATTTCCTCTTAAAAATGTCATTGGTTGTAGATTTTAAACAATCTAAAACCATGAACTGTGCTAATCCAGATTCCTAGACTGCTTTTCTGTGATTGTATAGTTACATGTCTCCTTCTGTCTTGTTTTCCCACACTGTGATGAAGTTGGAAAATAGGTTTCCATTCAGAATGTCAATTACATGGTTCCCTGAGCATGGTTTTGCTCAGAGAATCCCAAAGTTAACTGGGAGGGATGCGTATTTCTGTGTCCAATATTGTACTTGGTATTCTTTACAAAATATATGGTCATGTAAAATCACAATAACAAGTTTCTACATCAGGTTTAAGTTTTTAATACAAGGCAGATGGCATTTTTTAAAGAAGCACTGCAAAGATAAGAAAAATCACCACTCTTTTGTTTTCCATCTTCTTAAAAAATACTGAGTTCTTCTTTTTCCATTACATATATCGGACGAAATGTTAGCCATACCAGCCTAATTTATTGTATTTTTTCAAGTAACATCAAAATGCCGGATAGTTTAAAAACATTTGCAAAGTGGTGTTTCTTGTGAAGTTTGTTATGGGGAAATTTATGTGTTTCGCATGATTTACGAAAGATCACTGGCTTTCACCATTATGCAGACAATTCTGTAAGCAAGACACAAACCCTAGTTATTAAAAGGCATATGGCCAAAACAGAAAAATGTGGGTATGCTAATTTACAGGTATGAAATAATCCATGTCTACATCATGTTTGTAATTGTCACCCTAGTCAGGAAGCCAAGGACTTTTTAGATTAAAAAAAAAAAAGAGTTTAATTTAGGAGGTTTTTGGTTTTATTTCATTGCAATTAAGTGAGACCTTAACTCTATAGATCACATCATCCTTTCCATCATATGCAACATGAAAAAAATTTTGCAACATGATAATGCAATGAATATTCCTCCAACAACACTCTTATACCAGCATTCAAATGAAAATTCTCTCCTTTTCCTTTCAAACCGTAAGTTTCCTTTCCTACATCTTCTAAGAGCAAACATGAAAATACAGTTTTCGGAAATGAGCCTCACATTTTATTCAGCTGTCGTGAGACAGGATTTTCACTGTCATCGTAAGAGCTTGAATCTTTATTTAAGAAAGGAAAATTGAGGTGCTTGAAGTCACAAGTGTCCTGAACATCTGGCAAAGAAAATCAGCCATTGATATCAACAACACACTCCATGTTAAAAATGTAGAGGTAAAGTGGTGCAGCTGGCAGTACTGCAGCTGTTCCCTGATCTCCCCTGCTAGTTACCTGGGAGGATTGCTTTGTGCCTTGGGACCATACCACAAAGCTTACATGAGCACCCTAATATGCCATGCAGTGGCTGTGAGAACTGGCTTTACATTTCCAATCAGCAGAAGACACACTAAAAAAGAACCCTGCTTGGTTTCCATAACAGATGCAAGACACATTCCTACCAGGCCTGGAAGAGGATTCAAAACATTGTCAGATGAAGAAAAATTACAATTTAGATTGGTGATTGATGAGATCTCTTTAAATTGCCACAAGCATTAATTTAAGTCCCCTGTGTCTCATATGCTCACAGCTTTCAGCTTTTTATTTCCATACACAGAATTCTAATTTCTATCAGTCTTGTCCTACAAACATCTCAGTTCTTACACCTGAAAAGCCCTTTCTGCACTGAAATTCCTTTGTAATGCACACCACTTTATTGTTAAATTATTCCTTTTCACTTTCTCCTACAGTCAACATGCATCCACACCTTTTATTAAGGCTGCATGCACATTTTGGTGTTTGCTGTGTGTGCGCTTTAAGAATTTACACAACGTTGCAATATTCTACCTATATTCTTCCTTTAATTAAGAGATTTGATCCCTTAAATCTGTCAGACTTTAAATACTCAGATATTTACTAAAACTACAGAAAACTTTCATACAACTACCCCAGTAACAAAAATATAAATAGCCATACAGTAGATGTTTTCAAGTGATGATATATTACCATGGATATTTTTTATTATGTTACAACTTGCATTAATTCCTCATTACTTTCAGTTTTTGTTTTTATAAACAGCTCTTTGCTTTAGAAATGTGCCTCAATCTATATCATAAAGCATTCATTCTTCATACTGTAGTGAGGGATTATCAGTCTTCTGGGTTACATGCAGTAAAAATCATGAGAATTTTACAGACTCTTACATTACATTTAATAGAGAAATGCCACGCACTAAATATTTTGGAGCCAAGCAGACAGAGTTCATGATAAGAAATGAACTTTTCATATACACATTTGTGTGTTAGTTGGGGACCATTATGATTCATACTGGTGGTGATCCAAAGCTATGTAATCCTTGGATAGGGACACCCCCACTACAACTGTTACAGTCTCTCTTATAGGTAATGATTAACGCTGTAAAGTGAAGGTCTGGGAGACAGAAGTGTAAGTCAGCCTTTGGTTACATAGGCAATAAACTCCTAAAGATAAATAGCATTCATTATCATTAAGATATTGTCTACAAAGCATTATGTTAGCTCAAGAAAAAGAATCTGGCACTCTTTTCCTCTGTTTTTTAAACTCACTGTCAAGGGTTTAACTTACTTTGTCTGTTCAACTCACTGTCAAGGAGCCTCCAGAAACAATCATTCAGATTTGAAGACATCTTGAATGAGAAATACCAGTAATTAATTTATTTGTACGTTGTTCTAGTCCTTGACTCAGCTGCCTGTTTCTTGCAGGATAGTTCAGCTGGTATGTCAGTACATCCAGACTCCATTGCCATTATTTTGGCTCTGCAGAGGGTTTTCTGCACCAGTAAGGACAATTTTTTTTTAGCAAAAAATTAAGAGGTTTTATTTTTTTTTATTAAAAAATTAAAATTCTCCCAGGCACCTCTACACCTGCTTTCCCCTTTAGACTTGAGGCCGAAGCATCCTTAGATAACAAGTCCATCAATGGTAAGATGTTCCTCAAATGTGAGTTTGGAACTGAGCTGAGTTTTAGCTGAGTTTAGATAACCTGCCTGTCCACCTTATGGGGTCCATATAAATGAAAACAAAGAGACTTTGTTTCCAGACAAAATTGTAGTTTTCTACAGAAAGATGAATCTTGTGGTGAAAGTATTCAGAAACCCAATTTGCCACCAGGAAGAATCTGAAAACTCACACTCCACTCTTCTCTGGTTCTCCTGCAGTCACTGGTGGGAGTAGGGATCCTGAGAGGTGGTGACGGTGATACACGGAAACCCCTGTATCCGTCATCATGGATCTCTCTTGAACGCAATCTTTGTGCTGGTGCTGACCCTGCTAAAGTACAGCTACCCAGCTGAGGTCGTTGAGCCGTTCTAATTTAGGGCCAAATAATGCTGGAAAAGCAGAGAGAAGTGGCCCTGAAAGAGCAACCCCTTGAGCTGTGCCAGTATTTTGGACAGTCTGAAGAAGAAGGCGGTGTTTGTCTCAGTGTTTAAAAGAAAAACAAACAAACAAACAAAATCCAACCCCAAAACAACCAAAATCGGAGGCACTATCTCTCCTCGAGAAGTGTCCCTGTTGCCGTCGGGAGGCCCAGCTCACCATTACACTGGCACCACACTGTGGTCATGTGCTGCTACTGCAAAGCTTTCCTGCTTCTTAGACTTATTTTATCCTCTGGGGTAAAATAATTTTTAAAAAGCATATTTATGATACGAGATAAAATAATCCAGGGGTTCCAAAACGCCGGTTGCCACCTGACCCACCTGTGGCAGGCAGCAGGTAGGTGACATTTCAGGCATGAGACTGGGAGGAGTAGGAAGTGCCATCACCTGCCTTCCCCACAGCCAGCTGAGGAGGCCAGGGAGTCCGAGGGAAGAGAAGCAGCTCCATGGAAAATGAAGTGGTTCCTTCTCTCCCTGGTGGTGGAGCTTGGGCCGGCATTCTCCCAAGGAGCAAGGACCTGGACCTCAGCAGCAGCAGTGGCAGCCATCCCACACCGGAGCAAAACCCAGAGCTAGAATTTTCCAAGAGTGTTATTCAAAAAGCCTCCGGGTAGCTGACTTTCTAAACAAAGATCTTCCCCACAAACTAAGAGAGCTACTCTCCATCCATAGCATTTTCCGATCACAGCTGGAATCACAATGATCCCTAGTTCTTATGCCACATGGCAAATGCTCACCCGCGACCATATTCAGACGTGCGCTGGACCGTGACTTTGGATATCCATACAATAACTTATATTATCCTCTCCCTGTAGTCTTTATGTCTCTCACAAATAACACATGTAAATAACATACTGATGTCATCCTGCACACTACCCCAAACAAGAAATCTATCCAGCACAAGCTGTTTACGAATTTCGTTTCTGTCTAAGGCTCATCTTTCTCAGATTTCTGTTATTGGCACTCTCTCTACAAGAGAGAATTATGTATTCCTTAATGTCAAAGCCTGATCTTTTGAGATTGAAGTATTTTCTTATTTCACTAAAATTTATCAACAGTAGTTACTCATTGATGAAAGCTCTTGACAGTTTAACAAATATCAATCTATTGCAATTAAACACCAACTGGCTACTTGGAATTTAGAAAACTGGTAACTGTTTCAGAACACATATTGTAACTAACTGATTCACAGGAGCTTTTCCAGTGACTGATCTTGCCAGGTCCTGCATCAGCCTTTCTCTGAAACTGCAGGTATGTCAAACTGTTTTCTGGTGGCATAGATATTTTACTGATTGATATATGTTCTATATTTCTGAGGTCTTATTTCCTGTAGTTCCCATTTACTCTTGATATTATCCAAATATTGATTTAAATAATGCACTGTAAGTAAGTACAACAGCGGCCCCCAGGTTGGGAAGATCTGATTCGCTAATTAATCTGATATCTCTGCATGAGGAGATGGAAATGCAACTAACACAAAAGGACATCTCAGTATATGTTGGTAAATGTGTGAGCATTGCCAGATAACTAATTATTTTATTGATTTATGAAGCTAACAATGTAGAAATAAGTAGGTTTAGAAAGTGGGTTAAATGAAACTTGCTACCCCATTTAGCACTCTCTTGCTCAGTCATCTCATAGGAGCAAAACATTAGACATGAACAGGTCCCATCTACTCCAGTGTCCTGTTCTTTGTCGGTAGCAATGGTAGACGACTAGGATAAGCAGAAAAGCAGGCAAACATGTAGTGATCTCTTCCCAGTATGATCCCACACTGCTTCCACCAGCCCGTAGCTCATAGGTATCTTCACTTGGTCTTGTTATAACGACTTCTTGTTTATTCTTGTTGTCTCTTGCTTATGTGGTCGTGTCTACCAATGCACCTGTCTTGTTTCAGCTCCTACCCCTGACAGGCAACACTCCCTAATAAACACAGCCTCATAACCAAACAGTACCAGGAAGCTGACAAGGAGTAAGAAAGATGAGGAAAAGGCTGCATAACATAACAAGGAAAAGCTCTCAAATTGTAATTTTTCAGTCAGGCCCCTTGTAACAGGATTTAAATATTAAAGCTCACTACAATTATATTGATAGACAGCTGCTCCACCAAAATCCTGATCCCAAAGGAGTCTTGCGATAAAATACAGGGAAAAATGCACTGATTCATCTTCATGTTCTTGTTCCGCTTCCTAACTGTCCAAATAATTATTATTACTGAAGCAAAACACTAAAAACATTTTGGAGGGGGCTACAGAGAAGAATTATATACAAACTACAATGAGCAGAAAGAAATAGTGGTATTTAGTTAAAGAATTGTAGTTCGCCTGTCCCCAGACTACTTACTGAATTGCTTCTTTCCAATTTGTTTCATATGGATTAGTAATGTTTTATTTCTGTCTCTGTATAAGATATTTATATAAACACAAGCAAGATCAATGATGTTTTAAATTATATTTCTTTGTTAATCTCTAAACTGCTTTATTTGTCCATGACACACACTGAGATAAGGCTCACAGCTGATATGTGAGATGTCACACCCAAGTCCAGTAAAGAAATCAGCTGAAATAGCAGTTCTTTTCTCTGTGGGTGGTATTCCTCTTCAATCAGTTTTTTAAAAATCATGAAACAGAAATATCCAATCGCAGAAAGTATTGCTCTCACACTGTAATTTTGGCAGGGTCCTGACATAGTGAGGACCCCATGATTAAGTAATGGAAGGCACATATCTGACTTCACAAAAGGAAAAGACAGACTTTCCCTACCATTTCTTGATAACTATGTGATCCTGATTTAATAACATTTGGAATTAAATTACTTGGTGTTTTTGTTTGTAAATTCCCCTTTCTTCTTTACACAGACAATCCTTAGGCCAAAATATGTTTTGCTGCTTAAGGAAGAACAAATGGAATCTAAGATTGTGGTCTGGAATAATTGTGTCAATCAGCAGGGAATAGACTTCTTCCACTCTTCTCTCTTGAGTTTGCCTTTAAAAGCTGCTTATAGTCCTAACCACTTAAGTAGAAGAAACATGCAAGTACCCTGAAAGTAATGGAAAGAGCAACAGGGATTAAGGGGCTGCAGGGATTAATTTACAAATAACTATTTTTAAAGCATTGCTCTTCATAGACATGATTTTATCCTGTGTGGAAGTGTTCTTCATAACCACCACCACTGTAGTCAGACAGGGAAAGCTACTCCTCTTGCTATTGTCTGTAACCTATAGCTGATTCTTTCATTACTTTTCATGTCTTTTATTTCTTTTTTACTTTGCTATATCTCTGAAGTGTATAATATTTGTAGGCCATAAACTTCTAAGTGACTGACAGATTTCTGGAGCTACAAGGCAAAGTACACATATGAAAATGTGCCTGGCTATCTCAGGAACTCCTGACACAGAGCTATATTTGACTGTGATGCAGCCTCCCCACGAAGCAGTGTAAATTTTATAATTTCAAATATTTTAAATAAGACCAGGCAGTGCTTGCAGGAAGGTACTCCAGCTGTTTACATTTGTGTAGTATCCTTCATAGCCTGGTCTCCGAGTGCTGAACCAATAACTACAAAATAAAGTTATCAACACTTACCGTTTAGGGAATCAGTATTTCTTTAGTTTTCTTTTAAGTGCCAAGATACAGACTGAACAGTGAATTTCATAACTTAATTCACAAAACAGGTTTGCCACATGCCACTGTCTCCAACTGACCTGAGTGAATAACTGAGGCAAAGCAAACACGGCACCCTGCTGCTTCGGACCTTAATGCACTGCCCTCAGAAACATAACCAAAGAACGGGTTAGTGGAGACAGCTCTCCAGCCCTGACTCAGGACTCTGAATGTGAATGAAGCAGACTGTGAAATCAGTATGTCATCTGACGGCAAACCAATGAAAAATCAACAGGACTAACAGTACAAGTCTGGTACTGTTGTATTTTCACTGAAGATGCAAAGCAGAAATATGATACATAAGCATTACAGCTATATGTAACAAACTCAAAAAAGTTCTTTTTAGGGTTACACCTCTTTTCTTGAGAAATTAGCTCGGCACTGGGCAGTAGAAAAAAGGACTTTTTAGAAATGGACTTGTGTGTCAAAACTCTGAGAGTCATAACCAAAAAACCCCAAACATTTTGTACTTGGTGATATAGGCAGTAAAACATGGTTGAACTACAGGAGAAGGGACCACATGGTGTGATTTTTTTTTTTTTGACTGATAATGAATCTACTGTTTGACTTTAACTGGTATCATTTCAGGAGCAGTTCATATAGACTGTGCATCCTAGATCAGATGTCTCAAACAAGTAAGTAACCTGCACCCTAAAAACACATTTTGTTGACTACATAAAAATCCTAAGGAAAAAACTTACAGGAGTCTGTGTTGTAGGTTTCTACAACTTTTGTAAGACCATCACCCTATGTCCACAAGGAAATTACGGTTCTGCTCCTTTCTGCCCCCTGACACGCCCCTTCAGGAACTGAGTCTGGGAGCGTTTGTGACCCCTTCTTCCTCATCTTCATCTTCTTCAAAACATGTACAGTCCTTGGAGTTCCTCCAGAGCTCTGGGCTTGAAGGTCGCTGTGTCTGTGTGATATCTTCTGGCCTTAGGATGTTTTTCTACAATTCTACCTTGAAAAGAAGACTAAACATGCTAATGGAATTTTAGAGGGATTGATATAAAATGGAGTAGTAGGGTTGGGTATGTGTAAACATTATGCTACAGGGTAAGGAACATAATACAGCTACATTAAAATCTAAATTTATTACAAAACTACTACTAAAATCTATAAAAGTTAAAAAATCAAAAAAATAGTTCTGAGGCATCAATACCTTATGAGTCATGACCATAAACAAAAATGATAACTTCTGATTCTTTGGGCTAAGGGGCCATAGATGGCAGATAAATGGTGGTCCCATTGGGCTGTTTTTTAGTAGAGCATGGAAATGGTAGACGAGGGCTGAACTGCTCTTTGCCTGCTCTTGATGAGGCAAATGCAGCTTTCACTCAAAATACTCACAGCTAACTAAATCTTATAATGATATCAGGCCTTATTTTTAATGTATTTTAATCCAAGAAGGTTAAAATGCCTCCAGCCTCCCACCAGCCTTCTCCTTTGCCTGCAGCCAGGAGTCTGCAGGATGCAGGGGTGACAAAGCACAGCACTGAGCTCCCTGGGATTTAGTTTTGCATCTTTGGTCACCAGAGGTCAGAATAAGCCAGTCTTCGTAAGTCCTGCTCATGATGCAATACTCACATCTTCCAGTCCTGATTTTCCATACTTTTTTTGTCAAACGTTTCAGTAATGTGCTTATACAGTAAACCTAATCTGTCCATAGGTAAACAGTTTAAAATTGCTGAGGGAACTGCTTGCTTTGCATTAGCAGAGCGTGCAGAACTGTTTAAAAAGCACTAAGCCAGGCACCCCAGCTCCTTGTGTTCCCCTTATCATTCTAGTTACAGGGAATGGGAAAGTGACTGATAATTTACTCACATAATCAAAAAACATATTACTCATCCCATGTAAAATAATAAGTGATTCTCTACCACCAAAAGGAGGTGACAAGTTTTTGAAGATGGAGTGTCTTGGATCAAAAAAACTGCAGTTCCTGAATGTATTTTTTCATTTTAGTGGCATATTTAAACAAAGGTGGAAGATCTTAATTTAGCCATTAGAGGTCAGTAAATCCCAGGTTATTCATCGTTTTTTTTAACTCAATTTTTGAAAAAAGAAGTAGAAACAAGGTAAGAATACTTACAGCATTTCTGAACATTTGGGGTGATATAGAGTTGAAATAGAGCCTTGGAATACAAATGTTAAGAGTAAAATCATAGTTTTCAGCTGAATATGAGGACAGATGAAAGATAGTCCTCATCCTTCGGAATTTGTTGGTGTTCTCTTTGTAAATCTTATCTCAATAATTTAAACAAAGATTTAAACAAGTGACTGTCCAATACAAGATGTAGAATCAATCCAGGGAGCAGAGGGCTGGATATAGACAACACTCTTCTCATACATGGATGTGTAACCCCTAACTATGCTGCTCTGTTACGTTCTTGTGTGCTGCTGCTCTCTCAGGCCAGGGATTTGTCCTTCCTGCTGTGCAGCAGCCCAGCTGCAGCGAGAATGGTGCAAGGAAATAATGACTTCCACACACATACTGAGGGACAGGAAAGTTACACTATTCTTCTAATACTGCTGCCACTAACAGGAAATTGTCCTAATCTAAATAAGGTAATGGCTCATGATTTAATAATTCCAATCAATGCAACTTAAATAATTTATCTGTTGACCAGCTAAAACTAAGTTTATTTTCTAATCCCCCATCAGAGAAAAACTTGGGTTCATTTCTCTTCTGAACCTGCTCCTTCTAATGGTTTTTGCTAGCTAATTTCCTATTAGCCTATCTGAAGCTAACTTGATGTATGCTACCTTTGATGATTCCCCAAATTTGCTAAACAGCTCTTCATATTTTAATGATCCTGGGTGCCCAGGTGCCAACCTGAACCTTGGAGGTATCTCCCTGCTCCATGCAAGCACATCCCTTTGGACCATACATCTTGCTGTGACAGTCTGCCATGTTACCCTGATACCTAACTCCCCAAGTATTTGAAATAGTAGGATTGAGAGCACCAGTTTAATGGAGCACATCCTCTGATGCGTGCCCTCACTCTCATTATAGGCACGTGACAGGAGAGAAGACAGACATGTCTCTTAGTTACAGGAAGACTACTAGGCTGCCCATGTGATGTCCCTGTCAAAAAGACAAAAGTCAACCTGAATGGAATATTCTTGGTGAAAAGGTGTTTATAACATGGTATAAGGCCAAGGTGAAACTTCCTCTGGAGTTGCCTGTGGTCCTGTGTTGAACAGTCAGATGTCCAGGTGAAGTAGAACACTGAAATGATGAATAGATGTAGACAGAGTGATAGCGATGTTTGAAAGAAAAACAAAGATGTTAAAAGAGCACAGCTTGTCTAGACCAGCAAAATAAAGTCTGGGAATAGTTATGAGAGTTGACTATAAATACCCTGAGGGGTGAGCGTTGAGGAAGGAGACGAGTTATTCAGGATGAAGAATATACTTGACACAGAAACAGATGGGTATAGATTGCCCATAAATAAAATTTAGGCCAGAACTCAGGAAAAAGTTTCCAGATCTCTGAAATGCCTCTATTTCTCTTGGGCAACAAATGGCTAATTTAAATTTACATCTTTGATAATTAAAAAAATGACAAAACATAATTGCCCATGACAGGAGTGGACTGGAACTGGTGATCCAACAGGCTGGTAGATTCCTTTGCTAGCCAGACCCTTTAAAAATGCTTTACAAATAGGTCTTCAAATAACAACTCCATGGGATCCAGTTCTGCCATGGGAATCCCTCACAGTGATGAAATTAAAGCTTCTAGCCACTGACTGACAAGTGATTGCCAAGGCCTGCATGCAAGACAATACACTTGCAGATCATGTGACATTTATGTCAGCAAGGAACACTGATCTTGGATGGGTGAAGAACCTCCTTTATTTATGACTCTTGGATATTTGTGTTGATACCTGTGGTCCTGGGATGAAGGAAGAGAAAAAAGAATGTCTTCTCTAAACTCCAAAACCATATAGGTACAGAGAAAGGTTTCTGCCAAGCCTGTGCTCAGCACAGAGAGGAAAGGCATTGAGGATATGTTCAGCATGTGCTCAGAAGCTTCTTCTTTTATTATGAAGAAGTAAAACCAAAGCAATAAAGCAAAAGGAACTGAATCCTCTGGTTGGGGATTTGAACTCAGGCTGGTGAGTCAGCCTTGTGGTATCCAGAAATAGTTTTCTGATTCAAAATAAAATGTGTGTCAGCAATGGGTTCTTCCTTCTGAGGAGAGGCTGGGCCATCCCATTGCAGCAGTGAATATGGCAGTGGTGGGACAAGGAAAGACTTTACCATCACCCCCAGGGAAGCAAATAGAAAGGTAGGGGCTTCCACAATCCTGCAGTAGCAGGTTCTGCAAAGATTAGAGGATGAGGTTGTTGATGTTGCAGGATCACTGAGCAGCCTCTGTCCCTCAAGGACAACATGCTAACAGATGTATGTTCTTCGAGAGTAGAAGCTGAACTTCATGCTTTTCTGTCCAGGTTCAGGAACAGTCCGATTTATGCATGTCTTGTGTGTTCAATAACTTTCTTTAATTTCAGTTACTTGGGTTTTTTGCAAATAACGTATCATTCTGTGTTAATAGAGAGGAATGCTGCAAGACTGGCAAAATAATAAACAGCTTAGTGTATGTGACATTTTAATAGTTCTCCTCCTTAAGTATTGTGGCCCTTATCATCATTGTAACTCAGTGATAAATTATTTGATCTTTCATTTTCTCTAATCAAAAGCTGTAGAACTAAATCATTTTATTTAATGGAAACAGCAAAGTCACTTGAATAATATAGATTCAGAACTCAAGTCAGATGTGTCTTTTGAGCAATGTGTATCTGGGTTAAACTGCAGATAAAAAAAAGGAAGAGTGGAGACTAGGGTGAAAAAACCAACAAAATAACCAGAGAAGGAAAAAATTTATGTTTCAGTTTAGAAGGTAGCACATCACATTAAAAGGCCAGAAGATAAACAGATCATCAGCTCTGTTTTCATCACTTAGAGTAGTTATTTTAAGAAACTTCATCAACTAACTAGGAAGTTACTATGTGGCTAATAGGGAAGATTGGATCACGACACAAACAGCCTCAGGAAAAACCCCATGATATAAACTGAAAACTACAGCTAAAAGCTGCTATTTAAACATTTTTTATTGATGTAAGAGCTATCATGTGTTCTCCACGTGGCAGTACTCACCATGAAGGTCACACTGGAAACAATGCATATTGATCTTAGCCTATGTAAGAGAGACATTGTAGATGCAGAATAATGATTTGGTCCCTGCACTGTATACTGAGGCTGTGTGCGTGAGCACAATGCAAACCACTTCTGACATCTCTCTGCAAACTGCCTGCTCCTTGTCCCAGTGCTGCGACATGAGATAAGCTGGGGGTCCTGCAGGAAGAAACTTTCTGCTGGGGGTGTGCAGCAGATGTGATTCTCCGGGCACTACTTGTGTCCAGATCTCAGTGTGCTGGGGCATAAGAAGTCACACAGTACAGTGTAAAGCAATGTGAGCAGACCAGAGCAGCAAGAGCTGAAAGCTACTGTCCATACCAAACTTCATATTGATTTGAAAGCAATTATTTGTCTGAGTAAGCCCTGCTCATCTGAGAAAGGGGTTACAAAGTCATGTCCAGAGGCTTGTGAAAGCTCCTATCGGTTCCAGACATGTATTGTGAGGGCTGTGCTCTATTTTCATGTGGTTCTTACAATCCTGAGTCTTTAACCAAGCCTTTTGTGTCCTCCTGTTTTGGAATTATTCTGTGTGACCATAGAATTTATTCCTTGGTGTCTTTTAGAAAGATTTGCAATGTGACTAATTTTGACAAGCTTTCTAGGTGGTCCTGAAGTACATAGTCCTGCTAAGGGTCTTTGCTACTAGCCAGCCCTTCATATGGTTCTACAAATCTAGCTTGGACTTGTGAGGGGCTGATGAGAGGACAGGCCTGTGTTCAGCTTGGCTGCAGTTCCCTAAAGACGAACCAGCCATTTTCCAGAGTGCTAGAAGAGGATCATGAGGTGAAAGGACTCCCCATTTTTGGACTCTGTGGCCAGTACCATGTACTAGGACTAGGTAGAGGTGAAGGAGATGGCATAAGCCTGGATAAACTGAGAGAGGTTTGGCTGAAGAGACAGCCCAAGTGGCTGTAACCACTTGTCAAACCAGCAGCTTTGTCAAACAGACACATCCAAGTTGCATCCTGCTCAGATCTGGGCACATTTTAACCTGACTGTGCTGTATCTGGAATGCAATCAGGGATCAGTTTGTCCATCCCTTATACTCTACAGAGTGGAAAGGGCAACAAGAAATAATGCATATTTAAGCTAGGAGGTCAAGTCTTGAGAAGCAATTTCCAGCGAATGATTCCTAAATGTCTACAGTTGTAGAGAGGCTGAGCAACTCAGTGGACTAAGATTATACAGGCAAAAATTTAATTCTATTCAGCTTCTGGTTTAGTACATAACTTTTGGTCAGCCATTTACTCTTTCTCATTCTCCCTTTGTGTAATGGTACAGTGATAGGACCCAGTTCAGGGCATACTCTGATAGTCTCTGAAACTGTAAAGGTCATATAAGTGCTGAATATCACTTTTCTTGTGTCAGTTATATACCTTAGAGACTCGAATGATGGTATTGATAAACCCTTAGTAAAAGGAGTGTTACAGGTATTAACACACCTATAAGTACAGGTAAATCTTCTCTTTTGTGTGTATTTTGTCTTGAGTGGATCACCAAAAGCAATCTTTTGCTTCACACATATTAAATAACCTATCCTGAATCTTAAGAATTTATGTCTATCTGGAGCACAAATCCTCTGCAAGAGCTTGCAGATGGCATGAGTTAAGCATGATCTGATTTGCTTTCTCTACATATCTTTTGGGGGGTACAGGTCCATGTGCTGAAATCCTGAAGCCTCATTCTTGTGATGTTTTTCCTTTCATTCATATACTTGGTGTGTTGGGTGCCATTAATGCTTAAAGTACTGTGAGTACGTTCAGTCAGTAATGAAAGTCTTCACCGTTTTCCCAGCTACTGTTCACCACCTAACTAGTACTGGAATATGAAGAATGCGTATGCTTGAGCTTTGCCATTTGTTTTTAGAATACATTAGTTCTCACACAACATGATGGAAAATTTTGTAGGATCAGTGTCTTGGGTGATACACAGAAAGACGGGGGTCATGTGGCCCTCCAGCACCTTTTTTCCAGCTGCTGAAATGGAGATGCTGATTTTTATCTCCATAAGACAGATCATGAAAGAAGACAGAAGAAATGGCCTTGACAGTAGCAGAATAGCAGAGAAATAATAACAAAATCACTTAGAAGTTATCCGCAATCTGGATGCATTTGAAATGTCCATAATAAATTCATTTTGTTAGAATGCATGGGTTTTTGCTAAGGATGAATTGAGTGGAGATAAGGTGTTTGTGGCTAATGCAAGGACAACGCTAGCTATTCTCACAGATTAATTGCAGTCCAACCACTGCAGATCATAAAAAAGCAATTAATTTGTAATCATAAAGTTCTTGTACAGTATTTGAAATGCTGGGGAAAAAAAAATGCAATTCCTAACATTAAGTGAAAATGAAGTATGTGATATAATCTTTCCATCGAGACAGGTACCTAGAGTGGTCTTCTAGTGAGACCAGCTCAAAGCAAAACCAGCTCTGTTAGATAACTGCTGACAGACATGTGACTCATCTGTTCATAAAAATATCCATAAATAAAAATTCTCCACCCTTCCATTGTAAACTCAGATTCATTTTCCTCAAAGAGAAATTTAGAAGTCTGGACTAAATTTCACTGGAATACTAACTTTTGTCAGAAGTTTCATAGCAGTGATGGGTGCTCTTTCAGTCTGCTCTCTGGAAGAAACTGCCTACATCTAAGAAGCTGTCCTACCTCATAAACCCAAGTGTGGTCCCTCCTTGGACTGGAAAGTCTCTTGATCAAAGTAATTAATTTTATAAATTCCACCAGTGCGGTGCGTGGTGATTTTGCAGCCACTGTCATGTGCCACTGGCCCCATAAGTCCCCTGAGAGGCAACTGATAGACCGGACTCAGTGTTCTTTTATGGAAGTGGCAGTCTGTGCCCAGTCTCTGTGGTGAGGAGGAGCTGCTGCAGTGGACCTGGCCCTCACTGGCAGAGGGGAGCTCATATATGGGGCTGTGGAAAGCTTGCTCACAGACCATGCTTTTGCTTTCTGAAGGAACAGCTCTCAATAGCCATTTTTTTATGTTTTTGCTTTTAGGATGTTGGAAATCTCATCCAGGAGGCCTAAAGAAGTCCACCGGTATGACTGACCAAAGGCTAAAATTTCTGAGCCCTTATGCCCATCATGCTTATTTATGAGGCTCTTGTATCTAAAATCTGACCCGCATATTGCAAGTACTCATCATCCATTTAATCCCTTGATTTATTTTTTTTTCTAGACATTCAGGCAAAAGGCATTTACTTCTCTCTTATTCTTCCACTTAGGTTCATACAGAGATGGAAAAAATGATGCTTTTTCTCCTGACATGGAAGTGTTACAGCTGACTCACAAATGTTCCTGCTCCTCCAGGACTGTGGCTGCTCTGTCCCATTCTGACTTGAAAAAGTTTTGGGAATGACCCTTGCTTATATCTTTAAGTAACATAATATGTTAACTTTAAAATACTTGCCTTTGTGTCATGTCCCCCCTACTTTTATTTAGATCTTTCCCTTTCTCACTCCCACAATTTTTCTATCATGAAAGACTTTCAAACACTTTCTAGCAACTTTCAAAATACCAGCCTTTATTACAACTATTTATTCTGTTGATATTGCTTTTCTCTTATTTGATTTTTCCTTTTTGACCTCATAGAATCACAGCATATACTAAGTTGGAAGGAACCCATTAGGATCGTCAAGTCCAACTCTTGGCCCTGCACAGCGTACCCCAAGAACCACACCATGTGCCTGAGACCATTGCCCGAATGCTTCTTGAACTCTGTCAGGATTTGTGCTGTGACCATTTCCCTAGGGAGTCTGTTCCAGTGCTCAACAACCCTCTGGGTGAAAAATTTTTCCTGATATCCAACTCAGCTTTATGTCATTTCCTCAAGTCCTGTTACTGGTCATGAGAGTGAAGAGATAGTATTTGCCCCTCAGCTTCTCCTTGTGAGGATGTTGAAGACCACAATCAGTTCTTCCCTCAGTCTTCTCCAGGCTGAACGAAACAAGTGACCTCAGCCACTCCTCATAAGGATTCCCCTCAAGACCTTCACCATCTTCATTGCCCTCTTCTGGACACTGTCCAATAGCTTGATATCTTTTTTATATTGTGGCACCCAAAACTGCACTCAGGACTCAAGGTGAGGCCACACCAGTGCAGAGCAGAGCAGGACAATCATCCCCCTCAACTGACTGGAGATGCTTTGCCTGATGGCCCCCAGGATATGGTTGGCCATCCTGGCTGACAGGGCACTGCTGACTCATATTCAACTTGCCATCAAACAGGACCCCCAGGTCCCTTTCCATGGCACTGCTTTCCAGCATCTCATCCCCCAGCCTGTACAAACATCCAGAGTTGTCCCATCCAAGGTGCAGAATCTGGTACTTCTCCTTGTTGAACTTCATATGGTTGCTAATTTCCAAGTCCTCTAATTTGCTGAGATCTATCTGCAGGGCCTCTCTGCCCTCGAAGGAGTCAACAGCTCCACCCAATTTAGTGTCCTCGGCAAACTTACTTAGTACTCCTTCAAGTATTGTGTCCAAGCAGTTTATGAAGATTTTTAAGAGAACTGGGCTGAGGATGGAGTCCTAGTGACTGGATACCAGCCTGATGTTTCCCTATTCAATATAATTTTTTGTGTCTTATCCGTGAGCCAGTTGCTCGCCCATCGCATAATATGGTTATCCAGTTGTGTGCCGAACATTTTGTCAAGAACGATACTGTGAGAGACAGTATTGAAAGCTTTGCTGAAGTCCAAAAAATTATATCTACTAGCTTACCTAGATCAACTAGGTGGTTTATCCTCGTAGAAGGAAATCAGGTTTGATGAACAGGGCTTTCCCCTCATGGAGCTGCGCTGGCTGTGACCAGTGACTGCGTTGTGCAGGTGTTTTTCAGTACTTCCCAGAATAGTCTTTTCCTAGATTTTATCGGGCACTGAAGAGAGATGGACAGGCCTATAGTTTCCAGGGTCCTCCTTCTCTAGAACAATTCTGGGTGATGAAGGAGGAATGCATTTTGCTCTCCTGCCCCTCTTTTAAGATCTCACAGATGGCCCTGGACTTACTGCACTGTAAAACATGGGGAAGCGGCCAGAGATTGCCTTCCTTGGGTCTCCATGTGCTTCCCTCCTATTCCTCATTATCCTCTTTCTTCGAAGCCTTTACACTCCTTTCTGCCTCCTTTACAATATTTTACCTCTACTCAGTTGATACATCTTTGCTTTGATCTGTCTCAGTCCCCACACATCTCTTTTCTCCCTGCTCTCTCCCTTAGCACTTTCTTTCTCCCACAGGCACCTGGAGAAATTCTCCCACTGCCGGGACTTTTAATTCCTTTGGCCACCCCAATGCTGCTGAATTTACTCAAGGCCTGGGAAGACAGTGACAGTAGTTATGTCCCCAGTGAAGCGACTGCAAAAAGCCCCAGTGTCCCAGGTCTGCTCAGTGGGGATCCCACTGGCTTCTGTTTATTGTTGTTGGCCTTTGGCCAGGCCAGACCAGCCAGTGGGCTCACTGGCAATGCTTGTTCTGGTTGCTCCAGCTGAACTGAAGGAACCCCCTGAGGAAAGCCTGGGGACTGGGGTAGCAGTGTGCCTGTGTGTCTGTGTGTGCACATATGTCCACCACTCCCCAGAGGCAGCCCCGGCTCCTTTCGCAGGCTCCTGCATCCTTTTCACTGCTAAATTGCCATTTTCCTACTACCCTGAAGCGGCCCCTGGCTCCCACACAAATCTCCGGCATTCCTCCATGTTTCCTCACCAGTTCGGGGGGAAGAACAGCACATAGTGAATGGCCCATTCACACCCTGGTAGACTCACAAACCACACAGAAAACACGGAGGTCTCCTCTGCAGAGGCAGCTTAAGCAGGAGCACCCTAGTCAGCAGGAGACTTAAGGCAACACTGCTCCCACTCAGGATTGAGCAGGCATCACTGAGCATGGGTTGGCACAGCAGGCTGTGCCACAGCAGTCCCGTGCTGTGACAAGGCCATCGTCCCGCTTCCTGCAGAACTTGCGGCAAATTAACAGGCAGCAATGGCCTCTCAAAGGAGGCTTGCCCTCCTTCTTCAGCTCCAGAGGAGGAGCTGGATCGTTTCCAAAGGCAATGTTATGTGTACTCATCTGGAGGTTGTGTAAATAAATCGGTTCAAGGAATTAGCTGGGTTTTCTGGGTAGCTGCAGCTTCTTCCCTCTGGGCAGCAGTCGCCTGTACTCACTGCAGCACTGACCACTGCACTCCTTGTGCAGTCCTTGGTCTGGGCAAAGCTCTCTGCTGCCCGCAAAAAACTGCCCACAGGGCCAGGGGTTTAAGTCATTCATACACATCAGTTGTGAACATCTGTACCTTGTTCATATAGGATCCCTTTGTGCTTGGTTGCATGTAAACAATTTGCAGCCTTCAAAAAGGTTGGGAGTAATTTTCAGCCTCTCTAGACAAAAGTTTATATGATAGGTCTTTAATTGCATTTTCTGCTGACACATCTGGTGATGGCCCTGGTACCTGGGCTCTTACTGTGGATAGAATAATATTACCTTGTTTTATAAGGTGCTTTGGGAAGCCCTCAACATAGGAAAACAGCTGCACATAGCAACAGTGCCGTTATATTGGGCCCAGTATCTTGGGCTGTACAAGCAGCTTCCTTGTCTGCCCATTTTGACAATAAAAAGTACTGAGGAAACATAATCCTAAGCCTGTTTGTTTGGACCGGTGTTCACCTCTGGAGCTCTATACATTATGTTTTCATATCATACACTTAATTTGAGTGAACTTCAAATTTTGGCAAAGGAAAATAATGTTTTAAATACAATCCATCACAAGGTTGGGATGAGGAATTTTCCAAATCTGACTGGACTTCTCTAAATTTTAGTAAAAATCTCTTTTCACATTTTCATTTCTAAAACTGAAACAAGGTTGTTTGGATATCCACCTCACATGCCTTAAAGGGCTTTTGAGACTGAAAATACTCTTCTACTCTTCAGTCCCCTTACCCTCTTACACATCACTTGGAGGCTTAGACCATCAGAGATGTTGGGGAGTCTCTGGTTATTAACAGAGATCAAGCTGGATAGGAGTAACCCCAGGGATTGGGGGGTGCCAGGTTCATAATGCTCCCGAGGCTCATGGCAGTAACAATCTCAACTGTGTGTTCCCTGTGTGTACAGTTCAGCAAGGGTGTGGGTACAACCAATACACAGATTCAAGGGTTACATGTACGGGTAGCTGAATAGATATGAAGGTAAACAGGGTTTTGGAACATCCACGGTATTGCTGCTATTCCTCCAGAATAAAACAGATTAGTACTTGATCTTGTTGTCATTACACAGGTAAGAAATTCATTAAATCAATGTGACTAATCCTATGATTAAAGACTGCAAACCAGGTTTGTGACTTAATCTCTTCTGAGAAAATACCAATTTAACAGAAGTAAAATGATCCTGGGATCAGGTTATGAGGGCTGCTGTTTAAAACATGTGGAAGAAGAAATCATAATTAATTTTCAGTTTGGAGGGATGTTTTCATGTTTAGGTAATTCTATTATACATGTGAAGCAATTGTGTCCTTGACTCTGCTGCTGTAAAGTAATGATAGTTTTTATTAGAAAATTAAGATCATCTGAATGTAAGGGCTCTTTCAGAACAGCACAATAATTTTGAAGAACGAAATAAAGAACATGGTTTTTTGTGAAAATGCAATGACAGGGAGGGGATGCTGTGTCCTTTTTCAGGAGTTACATTTAAAGAGTAAGATTAGAAGTGCATTATCTTGATGCAGGATTACAGAAAGCCCACTTGCACAGCTGGTGCAACTGGCAATGAGGGAAAGACAATCTGCCTGTTCTTCAGCTTCTAAGCATCAATAACATCACAGTGTTTTCAACATACTGCAGGATAACACTGGGGAAAGGTCTTATTGGATTTTAAAATAATTTATACATATATGCATGTGTGTATGTGCTTGTGTCTGTGTGTTTATTATCTTTTGCTGTTTCCAGTTTCTTAAATATTACACAGAGCTGCTTAATTCAGTTCAACTTTTTTTAATTTCCTTTGACTCTTATTTTTGAGTATCCTTATTTCAGTGTGCTTTCCAGGAAGGGAGGGAAGAGGGAGCTGAATAAACATCCATAGTTAGGTCTTGTTTTCAGAGAAGTTCAATACATTCCTGCAGGTCAAGTAGAAGAGGAAGGGTGTCTGCTGTGTTTGCTCAACATTACAGGCAGTCCAGACAATTCAAAAGTTATTCATTTGTGGGAGAGTGGCACATTTTGCCCATCCACATGTACTGAGCAGACCCAGAAGAAGATGAGGGGCACAGACAGATGCCACCTTCCAGATGGGATGAGGGTATCTGTGAACTAAGCAGAGGTTGCCAAGAGTTTTATGAGAGCACCAAGTGCTACCTGCAAGGCTGAGACAGAGAGAACATCGCAGGTTATTTCTACAGATAGTCTGAGACTTCTAACAAAGGAGTTTATAGCCCTTATCTCTACAATTATTGTGTTTGCAGATACCTGCTCAAATAGAAGTTGTGGGTGCAATTAAGCATTTGCAGACTCAAAGCTTCAAAGGTCAGGTGATATCTGAGCTAAATCCTTATCCTTGTTAGTCCACACCACCCACCCCTAAATATATACATAGAAAATACAAACATTCAGAAACTAAGGAATCTGGTTTTGTAGAAATGTGCAAAGTGTTGAAGTCTATCTCTTTTGGATTGGTGATGTAGA